GCCCATTGAACCCGTATAAACAGGTTCAGGGTCGGTTTACCTCCCCGAAAGAGACTCCGCCCTTCGGCGTAGCCTCGTTCGGGTTCCTCCCGTCCCGAAGGCAGAGAGTTCAACCGATCCAGCCGGTCAGCCAGTCGTCCGACTTCGGACTGAACGGTACTTAGTCACCCCACCACGAGGGCATCATGTGGCACAAGGCCGGTTTAACGTGGGATCTCCGAGCCCGTGGGCTCCGCCAAAAATATGCCTTTTGAACCCGTATAAACGGGTTCAGGATCGGTTTACCTCCCTGAAAGTAGCCTCGTTCGGGTTCCTCCCCGCCCGAATGCAGAAAGTTTAACCGATCAGCCGATCAGCCGGTCGCCAGACTTCGGACTGAACCCCCTGTTTTCTCTTGAGGCACAGTATTTATTACGTATGGAATAGTCTATTATGTGGTTATGGGTAAGGTCCCATAACATAACTAATGGAGCCTTTAAAGGGTCAGTTTTTTCTTTTGAATTCATATATATATATATATATATAGAGAGAGAGAGAGAGAAAGAGAGAGAGAGAGAGAGAGACAGACAGACAGAGACTGATAGATTTTCATTGAGATATGTCCGCACAGTCGGCTTTTTTTTTACACATTTTGTAAAAATTTGAGATTATTTATCGTTAGACTACAAGTTGATGTCAATTTTTGGGATACTTTGTACACACACACACACATACACACACACACACACACGCACACACAAATATACAGTGATGTTCGATAAAAGTGACTCACCTGATTTTTTTACTTAAAAATTTTTTTCGCCTATTGTTTTTGGCGTCAAACTAATTTTTAATCTTACTAATATAAAGAACCCTTCCCGAGCACCTAGTAAAAAAAAGTTTACCAAATTTATAATTATCGATAGAATATCTTAGGGTGAATAAACTTTTTTCCTAGGCTGTCGGGAAGGGGTCTTTATATTAGTAAGATTAAAAATTATTTTAACCCCAAAAACAATACACAAAAAAAATATTTTTAAAAAAAAAATCAGGTGAGTCACTTTTATCGACCAGCACTGTATATATATATATATATATATATATATATATATATATATATATATATATATATATAGAGAGAGAGAGAGAGAAAGAGAGGGAGGGAGGGAGGGAGATAATGTTAATGGCAAAACTATTTTTCAATCTAAGTAGGTCCTTACTTTCTGTACAAACAATTATTTTTATTTCACTTTCGCTGGATTTTGCAATTCATTATAAAATTTGGCGCAAAACATCAAATAAAAAAATGACCGAGAACAATTGCAGTGACATAAATTTGGGGATCCTAAATTTTAGAATTGCGTGTCTGGATCCAACCCGGAATGTTCTTTAATTTGCTCACAGAGTCGTCCTGATACTAAAATCCGATGATATGCTGGGTTACATAGTAAAGTTGAAAATACGGACAATTTTATTTTGAAACAATGTAATTTGGGAACAGCATTTTTTGAAAGTTAGACAGTTGTGTCCTTTTAATTGCTATTGTCAGTAGAAGTTAAGATGGTGGAATTCGAAAACAACCACAATAATGAAAACCTGTATCAGTAGAACAGACAGCTATGTTTAAGAAAAGACATGTTTGGGATTTTAATTTGCTCACAGAGTCGGCCTGAGTTCAAAATGGCATGATATGTTGAGCTAAGGCCTCTTGGAGTAAAATTTAAAACAATGACAATTTTAACATGAAACACTGTAATTTGAGAACGGTATTTTTTTTCATTTGAACATGAGCTATTGAAAGTTAGATAGTTGTCACTTTAATTGTTTTTATCAGTAGAAGTTAAGATGATGGAATCCGAATATAATGTTTTCATATTAAATCATTTTTTATATTAAATTTACAGTATACGATCCAAATGTTTACACAACGTTTGGAGATCTTCATGCCAAGTGAAACACGACTTTTCAAAAGAAGAAAAGTAGCAATGAAAATAACTCATCTACTGAGGGCCCCAATTATTCATAACTTACATTTTTATAAATAATTGATTGAGTGGAATTCAGATGATAATGTATATTCGTAAGAGTCTGTGTGCGTTTGTGAATGTCCAGTAGACATTATGCTTAATGGTTCTTTGCATGTTGATTTAGGAACTTTTTTTTTATTTACATATCGTATGTTTTAGATAAATATACGTTAGATTCTTTAAGAATGAATTTAAGAATAAATTATCATCTAAATTCCACAGAGACGAACTAGAAGCATTATACACTTACATACAAAAAGCAAAATATACGGCTTTTCGGTCAATGCATTAATTTCTTGGGACTTCGAAAGGATGCGTCGTCTTTCCTTGAATTCGGAAGGCCATACGTTATACTAACATTTTTAACTAGTCGAAGACATGGGAAACATGATTAATCAATTGTTGTAGAATATTTACGAACGGTAACGGGTATGTCCCCATTTACATAAATACAGTAGTAAATACTGTATGTTAGTCTACAGTTGAAGATTCGTCTCTAACTGCGCTGGTCAAACTCTCTGCCTCTGGGCAGAGAAGATCCCCAGAGGATGTTATGTCGAAGGACAGAGTCTCGTCTCGGAAAACAGCTACGAGACCCCGTTTTATCCGGGTTCTACGGTGAATTTTGGGCCGAAACTACGGGCTCGGATACCCCACATTAAACTCGGCCTTGTGCCCCGGGTGGGGCCATTAGTAGATATCCTGCAGTTGGAAATTCGTTTCTATCTGTGCTAGTTAAATTTTCTACCTCCAGGCAGAGAGGATCCCCGGATGAGGCCATGTCGAAGGACAGAGATCATCTCAAAAAACAGCTACTCGACACCGTTTTATCCGGTGTCTACGGGAAATTTGGGCCGAGCCTACGGGATCAGATGCCTCACATTAAATTCGGCCTTGTGCCAATTCTGACCGGGTGGGGCAGTTGGTAGATATTTTGCAGTTGGAGATTCATTGTGGAATTCACTTGACTCACTTCTAGCAGTTGACTACTTCTACATGCCACTGGCGAATCTCATATGTGTTGTTCTTGTCCTATGCATTATCGTCCATTACCAACTTACATGTGATTATTCTATTCAGTAAACTTTCCTAGCTTAAAGCACCAATAAAAATCAAAAAAGATACGATAATCAGATGAA